ATCACAAACTGTCAGCAGTGTTTGCAAATCTAACTTGCAAGATCTTTTAAATGTGTTGTTCTTAAAAGGCAACAGTACTAAGTTTTTAGACAAAGTGCAGGAAAATTTAAGCACTTCTGACAAGCAGAAACATTAACAGTAATCATTTTTAAAACACTCGCATCTTTTGCCTGCATGTTTAGCTGTAAATAATGCTAGAATGTATAAAAGCTTTAAAGTAAAAATGTAATAAATACTTTTTATTATGTTTCATAAAGGATAAAAAAACGCTGTGAGCCATGTATATGCGTTATCCAGATATGCGAATGGATAGAGATGGATAGAGAGCTCCCACCCTCCTTACTACTAACCAGATTGCAAACCTGGGAGGACAGCTTGAAAAAGGCTCTAAAGTCAATTCTGTACTATACATGCTTCATAAAAGATGAATATAAATGCATTAGTTAGACACGGTGAGCTAAATTAGAAGGTCAGGCAGGGCTGGGAGGACTGAAAAATCACACAACCAATGAGTGTAATTACTCTTTTCTAAGTCTATTAAGTGGTGTTGTTCTATCAAGGCTCAGGGGTATAGGACATGAGGAACAAGATAAAGTAATGTGTATTTATTACTCCCACTGGATCAATTTACCAGATATTTTCAGCTCCATAAAGCAAAATACACAAATGCTGCCTTTGTTACTTTTCTCAAACTGCTTTATTTTCTCTAAAAGAGGGACTGGCTCTTGGAGAAAAAAAAAAACAAACATGTTTGCCCTATGGAGGTCCCCATGCCAACCTATCTCAGTGGGGAAATGAGAGAAAGCTGTCGAGAGGTTAAGTAGGATGGAGGTGAGGTGCAGGCAAGGGACAGGAGAGAGAAGCGAATCACCTCCAGACAGAATTATTTGGGTTTGTGGATCTAGGGGAAAAGTCGGAACTCAATGCAGTGATGATAGTGAGGTTTTTGAACCAGAGGACCTGGGTTCAAATCTTAATTTTCCCACTTGCCAGCTGAGAAGCTGTAGCACGCCACAGCCCTCTGGGAACTCTGACTCTCGTGAAATGGGGAGGACCACCTTGCAGGGATTAGTAGCCCCATTCACTACTGAAGCCTTGCCATACGCCAGAGACCTCTGTGTAAAGATCTCACTAACGCCCAACAGCAACACAGTGGGGCAAGCTGTATCACCAAGGAGAAAACAGAGGACGGGGAGGTTGAGTCACTGCACCAAGCAGTAGATCTGGTTTTCACAATTTATGTCTGTTTGGCATGAGAACCCATTCTCTTGGTCTCTGTGCTCTTCAAAAACCTCGATAAAGCCACGCGGGGCACACAGTGGGCATGAAGTAAATGTTACTGCTTCCAGGGATTGACAGCTAACACACAGAGGGCTCAGCTCAGGGTCGGCTCTCACTGCCCTTGCGCTCACCCGCACTGACCACTCACGAAGACAACCAACAAACTAGAGGGGGTGGAGACACCTCCGGCCTTCCAAACAGACAGAGCTTCTTGCTCAATGATTATGGATTGCACCAAGAATTTCAGCATCTCAGAGCTTTTGATTGAACACAGGCCCCATCCCCCTCACCTCTATATTATAGGAAAAGTCAACCTTCACCCCAAAGTCAGTCACATGTTCCTTTCTCTCCCTCCAGGATCCAGAGAGGAAGGCAAGTCTGTATGAAACAGAATAGAATGCTGTGATTTAAAAACTTTAGCCTGCCCTTCTCCACGTGCATATGAAAAAGGAAGGCCAGAAACATCTGGGGTTAGCATAATTATAGTACTTTGAATTTGTGTGTACAGCAACTATCACTAATGGTGACTTTCAGAGATAAAATAATTTACAGAGAAGGCTTCAGCTTGCTCCCGTTTTCTCAGTTGGTAAACGGGCATGATGTCTGCTTTCTCGACTTCTCTCACAAGAGGGGCTCCAATAAAACAAAGCATGTACAAGTTCTTCGAGAAAGCACAAGCCAGCATACAAAGGCATATTATTATGGAAGGCTGTCTGCTTGGTCTTTGGAGCAGTTTCATTTGACAGAATATGTGGGTGGTTGTATGAATCTAGCTTTGTCTATTCACAAACACATGGGTTTAATAAAGCACAGTTTGTTTTTTAAGGTGTGTGGTCCATGGCTCACTGAAACACTCCTGTTTGACAAACACTGACCATGATTCTAAGAAAGGCGGAGCCCATTTTTATCCCCCTAACAATGGATAGCAGGATTATAAATCCCCAAGTGCACAGGAATACCTTGTGCTGGCTCCATCCGCCACTTCCTGACCCTGCTCTTGAACTCTCGCTCCACCTTAACATTCAGAGCCAAGAGGACAGCCACTCTGATCTGAGTCACACAGAGAGCTTCCTGGGGTGGGCTCCAGCCAAAGTCCTTGCACGGTCAAGTGGCTAGATGCAAGCTGTGGAGTGTTTCCTTAACACACAAATCCATTGTGTCCTTGATTACTCTTCCCAAACCCAGGAAAAAGGGGCTGGGAATTTCACCATCAGGTCACTGGGCATGAAGCGACACGTGCCTGTGCTATTTGTTCAACATTTCTGAACGTGATGTGCAACCATAAAAATGTTTGTAAAAGTAAGTACACAAACTCAACCCTATATTCCTATTTCTCTTCTTTCTTTATGATTAAGAAAAGTACTGCCAGGCTTCTTCAGACTTCAACCATTAAAACAAGATTTCTCTTCCACTTTTCAATAAATATTTATAGAGTGGCAACTGTGGGCCAGATACTGTGCCAAGGGCACCCATGGGATTAGCCCTTATCATCCTTACGAGATCCCTATGAAGTCGGGAGGATTATTATCCCCATTTTATAGATGAAGAAACTGAGGCCCAGAAGATAAATTATATACACAACTGGTCACCAAGATTAGGATGTCTTGCTCTGTAGAGATTGGACGGATGAGCTCTCCGAAGCAAGGGTCGCACTCTAATGCAATTAGCAAACAGTCATAGCTACCTTTTGCTGACTGCTAAATAAGTCACTAAAATAACAACCTAAAGAAGTAGGAAATACTGCCATCTCCATTTGATAGAGAAGGAAGTTGAGGCACAGAGAGGTAAAGAATTTGGGGGGAGGGGGGAAGAAAGAAAGAATTTTGACCCAGATTGCATAGCTAGTAGGTGCCCTTACTCTGAGTTCTACCAGACCCAGTCTGACTCTCCAGTCCCTTTTAGCAGACTCTAGAAACTTCAAATGCCAGTGCAAAGCAAAGACAGTCCCCAAATGGAAACAATGGGAAGAATCTGGCATTGCACCCATGCCTTTTTTCTACCACTGAGACACCCAAGGCACTGACCATTGGGTGGACACACATTGTTTATATTGCTGTGCTGTAAAATTACCAATTATTGTCCCACAGGAAACGCATGGGAGCTAGGTTCCTGCCAGACAGAGGAACCTAAAGGTAACTCTCTCCACCTCACAGCTATGCTAGGGAAGAAGAGAGCCGTTCACTATTATTATTAGATTATTTCATTGCTCACCAAGAATAAGTAAGTCAGGGTGAAAGGGAAGGATGAGTAAGACGGAGGCCCCTTTCAAAGTCAAGGGTATGAACAGACTGACACATTATATGATTTCTTCCTCAGATGAAATGTTTTCTAGAAGTTTTTACCAAGGTGAATAAAATTCAGGGGAAGTAAGGCTGTTCTGGGAAGCTGAAGGTTGAGACTGAAGGCTGTGTGGTTCTTCATCTGAGGTCTCGGTAGAGGATGGACGCTTTCTTGCCACGGCCCTTGCCTTCCTGGAGCAGATAGCACCCCCTCCCCGACCCCACCAGCCCCCACGTCTGTACATGAATTTGTGGGCCAGCTTTCTCCTGGACGAAGCCTGTTCTGACGGGCGGCTTTGCCTCCCAGTGCAGCAGGTACACAGGTAGGATTTGATTTGATGGGATGATGATCCCCCAAAGAAGTTCGCCGAGCTAGGGAGGATGCCAACTTCACTTTTCTAAGTGTTTTATGAAGAGAGACAGATCCAGAAGTGACATATCTCTAGACTTACCGTGGCAAGGAGAGGTCCTCTCATCTACTCATTCAATTTATAATAGTTTTCACTTGCGTAGTAAATGAAATTCCATTTTGCTGTCAGTAAACAGTGAGTGGTAGTTCTACTAATTCTGTACTTTGAACTTATTTAGCATTTAACTGTTCTCTCCTCTGCGTCCTTACGGAACTTGGTTTGCACTTTTGTTAAATGTATCCATTACCTTCTGTTATGATTAGTTGTCTGTGTTGTGTAAGGTGATCTCTCCCACAGAGGGCCCAAGTTCCTGGGTTCAGAGATAGGAATACTCCCAACATTGACAACAAGTACAGAACAGTAGTCAATAAATGTGAATTTCCTTCTTTCTGCATTGGCAATTAATGGCACAACGGTGTGTGACATATTATTACTCTGTCTTGAATTTTTGTTTAATTCCTCACATTTGTGCCTTATTTCCCAATTAGGTGGGATGCCTCTGGAGGTAAGAAGCTCTGTCTTATTTGCCCAGTTGCGAGATTTACCAATGTTCTTTTTGAGCTCTAGCTTCACCAGGGATAAGTACGGATCCTCATCTAGGTAGAAAAGCAGTGTTCTTTTCCCTCCTGAGAACTGGTATGATGTAGTGATTAATAACATGGACTTTGGAGCGAGGCTGTATAGGTTTGAAGCTCAGTTTAGCAATTTACATTCTGTGTGACCTTGGGCAAATGATTTAAGCTCTCTTTGCTTGATTATTTTCTTCTCTAAAATAGAGGTGGTAATAGTACAAACCTGAGAGGGCTTTCGAGAGGAATAAATGACATAGTGTATGTAAAAATAAGTACATCACTTGGCACATAAGTGCTTGCTCCTTTTATTACTGCTTACCTTATAGTACCAAACACACAAAGCACAAGAATATTGAGTTGCTTATCTATGAACTAATTTTTATCAGTGGCAAAGTTTTCTGCCAATCACCCAAGCCCAAGTTTCCAGAGACCACAACCCAAAGAGGAGGTATCCTGACCTTTGGCAAACGCTCAGGGTCGCCAGGGTGCCGAGGAATGACCTTCTGTAACCTCTGGAAACCATAATCGATGGTGGGTTCGTTGAGCGCTGCAACGAAGAAGGCACACAATTAGAACAATGTCAGGAAATAAAATAGAACACGCTTTGCAACACCGATGGTGTGGAAATAACTTGGAAATCCAAAATTTAATTGATGCTTTTGAATTAGACCATAAAATGATCTGACGAATGATCCCTTTGCTGAACGTTCCCACCATCTACTTCTGCTATCTACCATGATGGGCAGTGGCTCGCTCAAAAGAACATTAGTAGCAGGTCTTGAACTCTGTTCTTTTGGTCAAACTCTATATTCCTTACATTAATGAAAATAGAAAATAAAATGGTGTTTGATGTGAGGTTTGAGGATTCACTTTAGTCAGATGCCAGGTCAAAATGCTCAGGGGTTTGCCTGAGGGTATCTACAGATTATAAACAGCAGGAGAATTAAAAGCACTTGCTTAATGAAAAATCTCTAATGAACCTCAGGAGATACAGTATCTCAGCACCTTCTGTGGCAATTAAGCCTGCAAGAGTGTGGTGCGGGCAGGGGAGGCTGGATCTTGCCGGCACAGAAAGCCTATCCTACCCTAGATAGAGCCTGCAGAGAGATGGGTATTGAAAACGCCCTTAGACAACACCCTCACATCTAAAATGGCAGACTGATTCCCACCATGAACATTATTTCAGGAAAGAGACCAGCCTCTGTGGAGAACTAGCTTAGAGCAGCTGGGTCTCCAAGAAGTCTTAAAAAGTCTAAAAGAAGAGCAAACCTGTAATAATATTTGGAGACAATGGGTCTTGTACCCATTGTCTACACCCTTTCCAAAGCATCCTTAAATTAAACATGATGCAAAATGGACGACTGTTCTATCATTTTCAAAATTCTTCCTCAGGATATGAAACATCTTCAGCCTTCCTCACCTGACTAGGAAAGGTGGCAGCTCCATCCTCTACCCATATCCCCCACATCCTCTAAGTAATGGGTGGGTGGGTGGGTTTTGTTCTTCTTTTCTTTTTTAGTGTAACCAAAGTATTCAACCACATATTTTCTCTCATACTGAATAAAAAGACAGTCTTTGTAGTTCTGACATTTAGCTATACATTAGAAAACAAGTTGCCACATGCTTTACTTACAATGCATTTCCATTAACCTAAATTCTAAAAGTAAGATCCACACTACTACTAACTTTAAAAAACTGTATTAAATTCAAATAGGTCCCAAGGCTAATGGAAGCAATTTGTATACCAACCCAAACTGACTGGCCCACTTTTCAAAATACAGGTATGATAATCTTGTGGTTTTAAAAGGACATTTAAATTGAAAGACTGTGAATTTAGTACATAATTATACCAATAGAACCCTTTAACTTGTCAACTTGTAAATCTAAAAGGCTATCAATCATTTCTAAAGAGGAAATAAACCTTAAAATTCCTTGATTGACAGTGCTTACTTTTTATGTAAGAAAAAAAAGGAAAAAAAAAAAAAAGGCTGCGTAAAGTGGCCAGAAATCCATTTACAAAAGTACATTGTTTTACATAGGTGAGTAAAAAGCCAATAATTACACTTCCCAAAGACACATAAATCAGAGTAAGTACTTTTTCCTCACTTGTATATTTTAAGTTGGAGTGAACTTCAGGTAACTTTTTATTAAAAAGATTTTTCCCCAAATGCAATGCTTATTGAAGTTGTTAATAGAGTAGCGTTTTCATTTAAGAGAATGTAATCATTTTTGCAAGTATGAGATTTAGGTATTTCTCTCTCTTCCCCCATTCTAAACAGTAAACTTTCAACCTGCCTCTTGTGGAAATTAACCAAAATTATCCCCAGGTGCACCAAATCTCTCTATCAATACCAGCACAGGAGTTAAGGCACAATATTTATTATTCCTCCCATTTTATGAATTACTTTCTAAGCCCTTGAGAAGAATCCTTTTTTCAAATTAGACGTCTAGAGAAAAAGCCATAGAACCCTTTATGCGGGGAAGCTGTTACTCGTAAAATCCATGGTATTTAATCAAGAAATGCATGAGAGTGACGGGAATAAGCACCTAGGTTTACGTTATATATCACATTCATCTCCCACTCATAATACTAATTGCCAACAAAGATGTTTAGCCATAAAAATAGCTTTAGACAATTAAATGTATCATTTTAATATCTGAAGACATAATTCAGCATCCTGAAAATTCTAATTCTTGGTTTTATTTTTCAGGCTAAGCCACCAATAAAACTTGAATTGTTGACCCACCCCTTCAGTTGTTTGCATAATAAATTAATTCCTACTGTGTCAAGAAACCAGCAGTTGTTAATTGAACGACTGTCTGATGTATTGGGGGGAGGATGTGTTTCTCTGGCCATACGGACAACTCACAGCGGAATGAGTGACACTTAATATCTGCAATTAAAAGAACTGATTCAAACATCATATGGAACTAATAGCTAAGGAGCTGATGAGAAGTCATTCTGTTGCCACAAAGAGTAATTGAATTAGATATAGTAAACTCATTATTCAAAGAAAAATAAGCATCTACTCTATGGAAGTACACTACGTGGGAGGAAATATTTCAGACTTAAGACAAAGGCCTTTAATTTATTTCCCATGCCTTTATCATTTGCTCTACGCTCATATTTTCAAATCTATTAACCTGACCTCAATTTATGTACTGAATATTACAATGGCGTTGTCCAGTGCTGTAGATGCAGATAACAACTAAAGATATGCAAGACAAAGCTTGTGGTATTAAATTTGAAGGTGCCTGATGATTTCTCTGATTGCACTGATTAGGGAAAAAAATTAAGCCAATTACTGAGTGAGAGGGGCCATAAAGAGTGTTACTTTAAAAGAATAACAACCTGGAAGATGAAATGTCTAGGGAGGAAGATGGTTAAATTATCTCACTCTCATGGAATGGAATATGATGCAGTCGTCAAAAGCAATGGAATACAAAAAAAAAAAAAATCTTTACTGAAATAATATATATTGAGGTTAAAAAGCAGAATACAGGAACATGCATACCATACGATTATTATTTTTTTTTGAGGAAGATTAGCCCTGAGCTAACATCTGCTGCCAATCCTCCTCTTTTTGCTGAGGAAGACTGGCCTCGAGCTAAGATCCGTGCTCATCTTCCTCTAGTTTATATATGGGACGCCTACCACAGCATGGCTTGACAAGCCGTGTCATGTCCGCACCAGGGATCCGAACCGATGAAAACCAGACCGCTGAAGTGGAACATGTGCACTTAACCGCTGCACCACTGGGCCAGCCCCTGATTACTTTTTTTTAAATGAACGTACAGAAAACGTTTCTGTGTATAAACTGGCTAACAGTAGTCATTTCTAAGAAGTGAGTCTTGAAGTGCTTTTCTTCCTTCTCTTGTGCTGTGCGTTGTCTAAATTTTCCACAATGAATATATATTACTTTTATAATCAGAGAAAAAGGTTAAGAGCAAGAGATTGTGGCTGAGATGCAATTTGACCTGCTTGTATAAAGTAATGACATAAGAAACTATGCCTTAAAAGGGGTCTGTATACTCTTTAATAACCTTGCATAGGTTATTACAGACCATAAGAAAAATAAGTAGTATACTTTTGGCCAGTTGTATAAATATGTGACTATTCATAAACTTTCTGAAAATCAACAGAGAGGGTAACAGGGAGGAATCATAAAGAATGGTATATTTATTTCATCAGTGGGGGGAGTCGTACCTTAGGGACATACATCTACTCTGCAAGAATGTAATATAAAGTTAATCCTTCAACAAAGTGACCTCATTGTATTCAAGCATAGGGCTCAGGGAGCACCAGCAGAAAGGGGACTAATCGATTTTTTTCCTCTAAAACTTGGGAAAATTCCGAGAACCTAGTAGAGAAAGAAAAGAAACTTAATTGGGCATAATTAACCACAAATAAAGAAGCATGAGCATCTTAGGTTGAAAAAAGAAAAAACAGATGAAGCCGTAAACTGCAAAGGGAATGCAATGATGAGAGCAGCTTCTGTGGTCCTGCTTCTCAAGACCTAGTCCTCTCTCTCTGAAGAGGCTTTGAGAGGGTGTCATCCGAGACCAGTTAGCGATGGTAACAAAATAAGGGAGGTTCAGACGTTTAGAAGAAATCCATAATCCCAAATAAGAAAAGCCTCGAGTTTTAAATCAGCAGAATAAAATGGGATCAATGTGGGCATTTAAAAAGTTCCACAAGATAATAAATTCTCCACGGATTCAATAATCAGTTTTAGTGCCTATCATGTGTTCAGATAGCATTTGCAGGAACTGTTTTGTGTCACAACACCATAAGCCCTCAAAAATACACTTTCTGAAAGGTGTACATAATCCAACCCAAAAAGATAGATGAACTACTTTTGTAGAGTTGCAATGCAGCTGCGACTCTCAGGACCCGGCTTCAGGAATCTATTCTCTTGCCTCCCTCATGGTCAGATGGTGGGTCACCATCTCCACTTCTGGTTCTGACATAGCCTTCACCAGGGTCACACTGCACTTAACAGAGACACATGGATTTCAAGAGTGATCAGGCTGTTGGGGAACCACAAACATTTGAATTCAAGATGTCTTCCACTGTCTTGTTCAAACTTAGAGGCAGATACGTATTAGCTGAATAAGCCTAAGTAGGACCTTATGGAGCTGAGTACATCTACTACAGTAGGTCTGAAACTGCTCTATGAACGCATAAGAAGCAAGATCAAATGCTTCTACACAGCAGAGCAAGCTCGCAGGGCAGGCTCATCGCTGAGATTTCGGAGAGGTCCTCTCATTCACAGCTATGGTATAACACTGGAGAACAGATCCTGGTAGCAAACAAGGGATATATGCATGGGCCTGGCATTTCAGCTGCATCAAAGTCATTATTTTTCAAAAAGTAGAAGTTAATTAAATGGTTAAAAAAATCAAACCACTTAATTGGCTTTGTGTTGGGACTGCTTATAAATGACTTTGGGTTCCTTCACAATCTCATAATCTCAGACTCCCCTAAAGGAAACCAGTCACTTTCTATGCAAAACCAGTCTCTGCAGAACCCTTCTCCTTTGGGCT